ATAGCCCCTTCCCCCAATCCCCCCAAAACTCAAATGGACAAAGAAAATGCAGAAACAAGGAATAATGTTAGGAGGCTCATGGATCCACAAAATGGGCACTGTAGGTTGTAGCATACTTTATCAAGGGGGGGGGCAGAAAAAGGAAAAGGTAAATAAATTAGTTTGTGCAGTGGGAATAATTTAATGGTTCTTATGACAGGCCTTCAGAGCCAAACTGGTAAATAATGAAAATTAGACCTTTCTCTGAAGAAGGGATTGTCCCGGATTACATTATCAGTACGTAGTGAGACAGCCACCTGGGTAAACGCGTGCGTGTTGACGATGGCTCACCTAGCTATGCTGCACATATTAATCAAACGGCACCACCCCTCATCCGCATTTCCATTACCCGCCCTACTTTGTGCCAATTTCCTTTCTCTTCCTCAGCATCCCTTCTTCACTGTTCTTTAAGACATGGGATGGGGATTTGTCAAAGTCAATGAGCACTTTATTACAGTGAGAACGTTCTGTAATGAACAATTCAGCGGTTTAATGAGATTCTGTAGATCTGTCTCCAGCCTGTCCGTCAAGTCTCACTTCTATAAAGCACCCTGACACTAATCCTCTGGCAGACCCAATCTTTACCCTGGGCTGAATATTAGATTCTTCCATGGTATATTGCATTACTAGTATAACCTCAGCAAAAAATGATGAACTTAACTATACTTGAGGCACTAGAGTTGGCCTGATTTGATTTTCCTCTATTGAGTATGAGGGAATTACTTACTTACTAAGATAAAGCAAAAACAATTTCTTATTGCCTACTGAATGCCTAAATTGATAATATTTATGGGAGTCTTTTAATTCCTTTTTGGTGATCAGGTCTAAAAAACTGCCTTACTGCCTGCAGAAACCTGTTTCTAAAATTCTGCTTTGTAATGTTGGCAGCCTTGAAAGGGGCGAACAAGATAGCTTCTAAGCAGACAGAGTGGAATTTTCCTGATACTCAGATATCTGCACATTACTGTGTCTACCTCTGGCAATGCCTTCAACCATGCCACAATGACAGACAGATGCCACAGGAATGGGTGGCCTCAACTCTCTATCTTGTTAGAAAAGTACACAATCTAGTCTGGTTTTACCCCTTAATGAAGTACAAAGAATTTGGCTACTTCACACTCTGAGCTGGCCATAGTAACTCCTGATGCTTTATATGACAGAGGAGAGCTTCGGATTATTGCAATCCCCGCCAGACCAAATCCCCACCAACACTTGGAACCACTGCCTGAATACACATTCCCAGAAATGCCCACGAAGCAGCCAACACTTGTAGCTTCTGTTTAAATCAAGGCTGTGGACTAGTGGAGAGATGTGGTTGCTATCAACAGACTTGGATTTAAAGGCAGCTCTGCTCTGTAAACTGGAGCCAAGTACAGAGCCTTCACTCTGCTTGTTGAGAGATGGAGACCGAGACAGCCACTCCTCAGGCCTCTTGTGCTAAGTCAATAAGGTTTCAAATACCTGCGACCCGACTGGCCCTTATCGCTAACTATTTTCAATAAAAAGAAAGACAGCTGCTGATTAAAGTTCAAAGAAGGAAGCAAGGTATCAGGAAAGTTATATATCAGTAGAATCAAGTGTTCAGGACACATTTTGACCAGCGGTAAAACAAACAAACAAAACCTAACTCCCGGAATATGCCTGGTCAGATAGGAGCTTACTGCTTCCTCCGCCAATAGAACACTGAACTCTTCCTAGGACTTGCGAAAGACAGCCACTTTCATATCACCCTGCAGGCACAGCATTCCAGGTTTCAAGATGTGTAGACAGTGCTGCAGAATGAGATAGACAGTGAAGGGAGAGGGGGAAACGGGCTGTGTACCCCAAAGACTTCAGGTGCAGTATCCAAGGACAGTCACTAGGGATGAGCAGAAGAGGATTTAAATTGAATAATCAACTTTCCAACAAAAAACATCCTCCCCGTCCCCTAGACAAAGCAATGACAGGATGTGAAAAGACTCCACAGTCAGGGGAAAGGAAGGGCTTGTGAAAGCAGCAGCGAATGCACAGTGAACTAAAGAGGAAGATGGTTTTTCCCACTGGAGTGTGGGAAGAACTTGGTTCCATGTGAGGTCTCCACATCCATCCATTGCAATCAGGAAATGTTTCTGAAAGGGAAAAGGGATAGGGCTGGGGGAGGGGTTGGCGGAGCAACAGAGAGGGGAATAGCGGGGTATTAGTGATCTGATCCAGGAAATGGGAAAAGGGGGCCTCTAACTGGGGAGGGGAGTAAGAGATAAATGCAAAGGAAGGAGGGGGTAAAATAACTGTAAGGATGCCAGAAAAAGCCACAAAGAATCATACTGTTATCTGTCTTAAAAACTATTATGCACACAAATCTATGTATATACATATAGAGTTTAAAAGAAATTTTCTTACTTGGGCTGACAATGCTCCCTCCCAGAACCAAAGAGCACCTAACAGAAACCCTGACACCAGGCATAAGAAGCCCTCTTTTGAGAGGTTGATCAGAATTGTCCAAGAGACTCCCCAAACTTACAGGGTGTTTCTAATGCTCTTGGTTGCCCCCAGATGTGGATGGTTACGGCCCCTATTGCTAAAGACACCATGTACTTCAAACACAGAGACCAGGGTCCCCTGAGCGGAAGCTGACTTGAATGGCTCCTCCTTAAGGACCAATTTTCATGGTACCAGAAGGCGCTACACAAACTTCCAAGGAGGGAAGCGACCAACAGCACTGCCCAGCTATGACACTTACGAACCACACAATGGCCAGCGTGGCAAGTTAACCTGAAGGATGCAGTTATGGACACATACCTTGGTAGTAACCCAGAACTCTCTAATTGGACTTAAGATTCACTCAGCCACAGGAAAATCATGCCTAGTACTGGGAACCAAGCCAACTACCCAAGGTTAGTAAAGTCGTGGATCTTGAAGGTGAACCTCCAACCACCACTTTACTAAACCAACATAATCCCTAACTACATTCTAAATATTTTTCCTTATACCCACAGATACATGTATTCCTGACCCCTCATCAAAGGAACTTCTATTTACAACAGACAGAGACCACTACAGAAAACCACAACCAATCAAAATGCAGACTTGGGTAGTCCAGTCTCAATGGATACTCCCATATTATATACCAACCACAGATGCCCCTCTCTTCCCTCCTCCCTCTTCCTCCACCTCCCTCCCTGCAACCCCCCCATTCTCTCCTCCAAAAAGGTAAGGCCTCCCATGGGGAGTCTGCAAGCCTGGTACATTCAGCTGAGGCAGGTCCAAGCACCTGATCCCTGCATCAAGGCTGTTCAAGGGGTCAAAAATAAGTACAGCTGAATTATTTTTAGTTGTTCTAAAAATTTATTTATTTTTATTTTATGTACATTAATGCTTTGCCTACAGGTATGCTTGTGTGAGGGTACTGGATCCTCTGGATCAGGAGTTACAGACAGTTGTGAGCTGCCATGTGGGTGCTGGGAATTTCTTAATGAAAGCAAAAAAAATATTTAAAAAATTAAAATAAAAATAAATTATCTTGGAATATGCATAGCCAAATAGTGAAAGAATTATGTATGTTTCTTTTCTATAGCAAAAATGAAACACCATGACCAAGGCAACTAGGGAAATGGTTTATTGGGGCTTATGGTTACATAGACTCCAAGATGGGAGAGCAAAGCCATGGCGGTAAGAGCAGGAAACAGAACACAAACTGAGAACAAGCCCAACCCATACACACTTCCTCCAGCCAGGCCATAAAACAAAACAAAAACCAAACACTGCCACACCTGAGGTTCAGGGGACGGTTTGGAAGAGGAGGCAGAAAGACTGTAAGAGCCAGAGGATCAGGAAGCTTGCTGAGCAATAATGTCTCCTAGTGACGTCAGATGCTACACCCTAAAGTCTCACCCACGTGACCATCCAAAGAAAGGTGACAATACACATGTCCACGTGGAGGGAGGGAAAACCCACAAGGCCTCAACCCAACAACAGGAGCTACAGTCAACGAAGGAGTCCTGAGAGCAGGAGAAACAGCCTTCCCCAGGGAAGAGGCCACCCACTGGTTATCCAGTACCAAATGGTCAGCCCTGAAAACACAGTACAGGTAACATTATACAGAGCAAGCGGATTGTATTTGGGAGTATATATGTGTATACACATACTTAAATGCATGTAACAACAATTAATGGGGGAAAAAGGCCATGGATTAGAAAGAGAGCACACGAGGGGTTTGGAGAGGAAAAGGAAGGGAGAAATAATGTATTTGTAGTCTTAAAAATAAAAGAAAAAAGAAACAACTTAAAAAGAAAAAGTCCAAATTCCCTAGACATGCACACTATACTCATAGGAATTTTTGGAATGGACTCCAAGCCAAGTCTTTTAAAAATGCTGAAGATTCCAGAGTACAACCATGTTTGAACACTTGTGTTTACCTATGATCACTTGTATTAATTTACCTGTTCACTTTCATATTATTGACTTATAGACAAGTCCTTCACCCAAACTTAAAGCATAAAAATTAGCAAACCTCAAAACTCATTAGCTAATAAGTAATCTACAAATTAGCTAAAAACTCAAATGAAAAAGTTTATTTGAACCACTAAAAGCTATTTCTAAGTTTTTCTCATTAAATAATTTTTAAAAGAAATATTTATGAACGGTTTTCCCAAAAACTCCGAATTCCTTTTGTTTCAGTGGCTTAAATCTGTATTAAATTGTTTCACAATCCATTCTGCTCATATTCAGCTTAAGAAATGCTTTTGGTTTCACGGGGGGAAATCCCTTCCCTTTTCTGATTTACCTAGGTTTGAGGAAGCCGAAGTGCTGGTGTCCTCCCACGATGGCTGCAGACTGGCAGGTGTCCACCAATGACTTGCCCACCGCAGGAGCAGGACTTCAGTACACCTGGCAGCCAAGCCTCATCAAACAGTGCTTGTCGCACCTGAATCCTTCCCTTTCTAGTCACGGCGCCTCCCCGAGGCCAGGCAGCACGCCCTTACCTGCCAGATCTGCTCCTCGCTCAGGGAGGTCAGGCGGTCACTCTTCAGCACCTCCTGAAGCAGGCAGTAGGGCAGCGTGAGAACATCCTCTGGGCGGCTCTTCAGGAGCTCCGAGAGATGCTTCACTAGGAAATCAATCACTGCCTTCTCCAACAAAGTGAGGTGAAAGAGGTCAGCAAGTCTGTACAGATCCAAGTAATTAAAGCTATTTAGTTCCTGGGTGCCAAAAAAACATAAAAAAGAAATCTCTTAGGAATCCACATAGAACAGGCAAGAAATTAGGTCCACTCACCACTATTTTCATTACAGATAGTGGGGGCATTAATATTAAGGCCATCCCCCTACCCCACCAATTATAAGGCTTCAAGTTTTTCTTATCCCTCAAACCCATATTCTTTTTAAAATAACTTACTTATTTTTATATTATGTGCATTGGTGTTTTGCCTGCATGTATGTCTGTATGAGCGATCCCTTGGAACTGGAGTTACAATTGTGAGCTGCTGTGTGGGTGCTGGGAACTGAACCCTGGTCCTCTGGAAAAGCAGAATTCTCTTAACCACTAAGCCATCTCTTCAGGCCCTAAACCCATCTTCTTAAAGAAATCTTTAAAAGGGGATTTCCTGAAAGGGTGTCCTGGTTTTTGCTGGCTGAAATGCTACTTTGCAACCTTTTGGAAGCATTTGGAAGTCCTTACCAATAAAGACTATGATGGGTATTCTTAGTTGTCAACTTGACTACATTTGGAATTAACTAAATACCCAGGCTGCTGGACACACCTGTGAGGAATTTTTGGTTAATTTGAGGTTCGACATCTATATCATACCCCTCCTTCAACGCCTTAAATATGGGCCACACCCGCTCATGGCAGCCTTTGTGAAGGACAAGAAAAAAAGCAGCTTTTGATTGTTGCCTGCCTGCCTCTACTCTCCCTTCACCGTTCACTGGCATCAGAGACTACGTCCTCAGGATTCCGATGCATACTGAAGATCAGCTGAGACACCCAGCCTCATGGAGTGAACAACTATTGGAATCTGGGACTTTCTATCTGTAAACAGCCATTGTGGGACTTGCTGGACCACAGCCTGTATGTAAGTCATTCTAATAAATCCCCTGTGTGAACACACACACACACACACACACACACACAATCAGTCCTATCTATCCTCTAGAGAACCCTGACTATACAAGGACAATCATTGTTTTAACAGGCCTGCAGTTTAGCTCTTTGTCTACTGAAGGTAATACAAGAACCATTAAGTGGGGATTGAGGATTAAGTACAAACCCAAAGACACACCGACTTTGCATTGTTTCTGAAACTTCAGCCTCAGTATGTCTGTACATAAAAACAACTCATCCCATCTTAATGGAATTGAAATACAAAATTTATATGTACATCTTAGCAAATGAGTTAATCTCACAGAAAAGACTCATGTCTTGAATATATATCAAATCCCCCTAAACATGGACCTTGTTTTGTTAGCCTTGAACATACAGAAAACCAGTGACATTCCTCCTACTTATTCCCTAAGTTTCTGAAGCCATGCTCTCAAACAGATAGCCAGGATTCTAGGAAATTATATCCATAAAGCTGTAGCCCCCAGGAACTCCTGTACTGTGCTCCTGTGATAGCCAGGGTGGTACACGCATGTGTTGATAGAAAGCTTGACTACTTGCCGGGCGGTGGTGGCGCACGCCTTTAATCCCAGCACTCGGGAGGCAGAGCCAGGTGGATCTCTGTGAGTTCGAGGCCAGCCTGGACTACCAAGTGAGTCCCAGGAAAGGCGCAAAGCTACACAGAGAAACCCTGTCTCGAAAAACCAAAAAAAAAAAAAAAAAAAAAGAAAGCTTGACTACTTAAGTAGAATAAAAATAATGGTGTATTAGATTCCCTTCACTCTTACTTCATTGTCATTAATATGTGGGCAGTGTTCTGTAAGAGCAGGACTTGAGGATGCTATGAGACATCCATTTATTCCACAGACCTATTTATTTAAACACGACATATTTCCTTTTCCTAGTTTTCCAAGACTATTAAAAATTCTAACAATATTTATCCTATTATTATATACATAATTTCATGATAATTGCCAGTTTAAAAGAGTATTTCAAAAATCTGATAGTCATTTAAATGCTCAAATATTATGGGATCATATATACCACAAGCTCACGTGTTCCATTTTTTTAAAAACCGGAGTCCACTTAGTGCTGCCTATATCTGCTTGGGTGTAGGATAACCTCCTGGAGCATGGTTGCCTCTTAGGGGCCACATTCATAAAGAAAACTGAATTCCCTTCCCCTAGCAGTCAATAGTTTCCAGTTGTGCCTCAGTTAAGGGTGGGACTTCATGAGCCCCGTTCCTTTCCATGCTGGGATTGATCTTGCCCAGGTCTTGTACATGCAGTCACAGCTGCAGAGCTGAGGGTTCATATGTGTAACAGCCCTGTCATGTCCAGTAATGTCAATGACATACTGTGTCATTACAGAAATCCACTGCTCAGGCTCTTACAACATGTCCTCCACCTCTTCCACGATGATCATTAACTTTAACGGAGGGCTATGATATGTCCCATTTAGGGCTGAGCACTTTACAGTATCTTATTCTCTTTATGCTGACCAGTTGTAGTTCTCTGCGTTAACCACAATCTACTGAAGAAAAAAAAAAAACAACCTTCTCTAATGAAACTTCACTGATATGGTGGGACAAGGAAGGGGAGCCCCAACTAGAAGATTCTCGATAGGTCTATTTGCCATCAAGTCTTAAAGGACTAAATGCTTATCTTCCAAATGCTATTTATTCAAATAGATGACTGCTGAAGTCCACTACAATGCAAACATCTGAGGATTCACTTATGCTTTTCACTCAAAAATAGCCTGACTTCTTATTCACATTTTATCAAAGGAATATAGGAGTTACGGGACTAGCTTTTCAAGGATACTTAAAATTGTCCTTCAAAGTTTACTTCTTAGGATTGGTAAGTACTAGGCTGGCAGGAAAGAATAAGAGATTCTAGTGTGCACTTCAGGACACATCTGTGGGATGGGGTACATCTTTGAAGCAAGTTCATCAATTTGGAGCCCTGAGAAATATTTTGGTGTCATACAGCATTACTCTGCTGTTCTTCCAAATCCTGCTTTGCAACCATTGCAGGGGTGGCAGGATTCTGATCCAGTGGCCAGTATCACCTGAGTCAGTGGCCAGATTCAGTGGCCAGCATCATCTGAGTCAGTGGCCAGCATCATCTGATTCGGTGGCCAGCATCATCTGATTCAGTGGCCAGATTCAGTGGCCAGCATCATCTGATTCAGTGGCCAGCATCA